ATTATGATCAAGAAATAATTTATGACCAATTAATTCGATAATTTGTGACCAAATTGTATAGAATTGTGACCTTGATATATTTAATTAATAAAATATAGATTTAGTTAATTATTTTATAAATAAAATTTTAAAAAACTTGATTTTTGAAGTTTTAAACTTTAAGTTTATTGTAAAATAATGTGATAATTATTGATGATTATTTAGTGTTATCATGATACATAGATAACTCTTATCTAATTTAGAAGATTTATTTTATTCCAACTGTAACTCTTATTTTGGATCCTATTAATTTAGGGTGTTGGTTCTTAATAATACATACAAGTCTATTGACTTTCTATATTTTCTTCTTCTTTTTCATAACACGTTATTAGCACAAACGCTTTCATCTATTTGCCAATTTCAAATTGTAAATTTTGAATAATATACATATTTCCACATAAATTTCCAATTCTCCGCTCAAGTGGAATATGCCACGTCTCTCAGTCTCTGCACCCAAATGTTAAAATGTCTTCTATCTCTATTATTTACTTGTACATCATGATGGAATTCGCATATGGCAGAAACTATTTTAAAGGCAATGAAATCGAGAAAAGTTGAAAAAAAGGGTACAAACTGCATTGAAGAAATAGACAGGTACCTACAGTTTATTTTCTTAAAATAAACTCTTATGTGACAAATTGATCAACTGGCAATGAAATTTTCTAGTACATACAAGTAGTCAACTCACCTTATTCGTATTAAAATTTTTCGTCTTGATTAATTATCAAGTTCTTATTCTTTTTAATACGTAGTAGTAGTTTATGAATTTAGTAATCTTATATTTGTCTATTACAAAATATTGTTACTCCTAAAATAGCACAATGTTATTTACAAATATTTTAATTAGATTTTACTTGCTCTTGAAAAAGTATAATTAAATAAAATCTAATATAAATTACAATTTTACTCTTGAAGAGTAAATTTTCATACAATTTATTATTTCAAATAATAATATATTATTGTTCCTGAAAAGCATAACAATCCGATTCCAATATTGCAGAAGAATGTTACTTGTTGTTCTGTCTATTAAAAATATTTTGTTACCCCTGAAATAGTACAATGTTATAATTAATATTCTAAAAGAAATATTGATTGCTCCAAAAGAGCATGATATTATAATTGTAATATTTTAAAAGCATATTAATTTATTGCTTATGAAGAAGCAATAATAAAATATAAATTATATAATGTACTCTTAAAATAGCTCATACCCCAAATAATATATATCTTATTGTGTTCCTGAAGAAACAAAAATTAAACAATTCAATACTGAGTTGTAATTTTAAGCGAAACTAATTTTTTATATCATTAATATTCAAGAAGAATATTAATTTATCACTCTTAAACAAAATGGATTATAATTTTCAATATTCTAGAAGAATATTGACATATTTTTCTTTAAAAAGCAATAACGAAAGATAATGTGCTCTTTAAGTTGCACATTTTCGGAAAATATATTATTATGAATTCATTTTTATCCTTGAAGGAAAACATATAGCTAATGTCATGAGGACATTGATTAATTTGATTATATAAATGATATATGATTATACAAGCTTTAATCATGTTCTTCGAAATTAAATAATTGAATTATATCTTATATTGAATCAGCATTTCAATTTGACTTTATTGTTTGACATAACTAGTTGAACCATCACTGGATCAACAATGATGCGAAATTAAAAATTCAAATAAACATCCAACGCAGAATCAGAAGATTTTTCAATCCAATGAATTCATATATATAATTTGTTCTCTTTATCAAAAATTGATCACTAACCATAACTATCTAAAATAGGACAAAATTCCCTATATTTTTGAAAATTAATCAGGATGATAAATGGGCCCCATCATCCTCCACAATGATCATCGAAATATTATTTGTATCTAATGTATTTGATACATATACAAGATGATTGCATTGTACTCACAATCAGAAATTTGCGAAATTATCATTCAAATTTTAGATTATGAGTATAATTTTTAGAGAGTACAATCAAGATAGTGTCTTGTTAATGCTAGTGATTCTAAATCTCAACATTTTAATAAGTGTTAGTTGGAATGTCGATAAATGATTTAACACTATTATTTTTTAAGTTCCTCCAATTAATTGAGAACAAAGTATTTTCCATTTTTATTTAGAAATTCTATTACGCATTATGCCAACATCCTGATCTCCTTCCTATATTTGACTTATGATCATAGCTTAATTTTTTATCTAATTATTTTGATAGTGCGGTATATGTAAAAATTGATCCACCACAATGCACCGAAACGGAAAGTGAAGAATGTTGAGAATAAATGTGTAATTTGAACTCTTATCTAAAATGTGTGATATTTTATAACGGTAAAAAAATAATTGTCAATTTGATTGAACAGTTCTATCAACATCAGGGTGAGAAATTAAGAAGCTAAAAATAATTATAAATGCATCATCATCTAAATTCTAGCAAAATATCATTCAAACCAAAAGTTTGGAAGATAATTTATTTAGATGTATTTATTGATCAAAGAGGTAAACAATATCTCAAGCACAAGTTTTAATGTTCCAATACGAATTGATGTCCTAGAAGGACAATTTGATAACATTATATTCTATATATCTATGGCACGCCTGAAGCGTGATTGTGTTCAATTCTAAGAGAAAATACCTTCAAAAGAAGATGGAGCAATTAGTAAAAATGGTCTTATTAAGGATGCATAGGATGAGTATTTCGACACAACAAATTATAAAATCCCAGAAGATGCTCAGGTACTAGATATATTGAAAATTGAGATATCTAAATAAGTTATGTCATTATGAGAAAAGAAATAGAATCGAAAAGAAAAATTGTTGACAATACTTTTGCAAGTGATACACTGCATTATATTATGAATATTGAGGACATTGAAATAAATTTGTCATTAATCAACGTAATGATTGGTCAAATGAAATGATGCAATTATACTAAATTAAATTTACTAGAGAAATTTGAAGTTTCTGGATCTGCAGTCCGAACACCAAAAATTATATATTTATGTGAAATGAAAATGAAAAAAGTAAATCCGTAATATGAAATATACGACTTTTTACATAATGAATTTCGTGAAAACTTATATAAATAGATAAGTTATATTGTGGTGGATGTAATTACAAGTCTCGATTTTATTAGTCTAACAATGCATTGAATTTGATAGACATATTATAAATTTGATTATTGCCAATGCATCTGGTGTGGCTACTAATGTTATCTCGAAAGATTTTATACGCTAAAGCATAATTCAATTGATATTATCACGAGGAGAGTAAATACACGTTGTACTCTTTTTCCCTTGACTAAGGTTTTGTACCATTGAATTTTCCTGATAAGATTCTTAATGAGACAACTTTTGTAGCGTATTCAAAAAAATAATGTACTATTTTTCCTTCATTATGATTTTTCTGACAAGGCTTTTCCTAATAAGGTTATAATGAGATATATTCTTCATGTAATGAATGTCTATAAAATGTAATACATTTACCTTCAAAATAATACTTTATATGCATAACTCTCGAAGAGATCAACAAGAGCTATTTTTCGAATAGTCATGTTACTACAATTATCAAAGACTAATAATTTATCTCTTATAAAGACAATGTTATTTGAAGATTATGCAATACAACATAAGACATATTTTACAAAAATTGTAATATTGAAGATATTGATATATGATGCATGAATAGCTTGATAGAAGAATTGAAATCAGGGAAAGTAAACTGTACTCTTTTTCTTTCGATTAGGTTTTGTCCCACTGAATTTTTTGAACAATGTTTTAATAAGGTAGCATTTTATTATTCCAATTGTTGTAAAATAATGAGATAATTATTTGTGATTATTTAGTATTATCATGATAAATAGAGAAGTCTTATACAGTCTAGAAGATTTACTTTGTAACTCTTATTTTAAATCCTATAAATATAGAACTTTGATTATTAATAATATGCAAAATTCTATTGACTTTTCTATACTTTCTTCTTTTCTCTCTCTTTCATAACAAATTCTTAGTTTTGAAATATATCATACTTAATCTCTTATATATGCATTTTTCCCCCCTTTACAATAAATATTTAGCCCAAACCAAAGGCCCAGATTCAACAATGCTCTATATTTTAGCTCACTTTCAAATCTAATTCTATTTTGTCCAGAAAAATTTAGCCCACGCCAACGTTTAGACCGATTATAATTTTTGTATCAACCCTAATTTTAACTTCACTTTCGTTTTCTACCAAACTTTTCTATTTCTTCCTGTTTTTTCCTCATGACTCACTAAGGACCCCAAAAACCTTACTTCCACTCCACGAAATCTCTTCTGAAATTGTACGTATTTGTCACCCATTACTGTTTAAAATAGCTGTTTAACTTGGGTTTTGTGCAAAATCTCACGTGGGTTTTTTTAATAATATTTGCCAAAACTATTTGGAGGCAAAATCAATGAAATCCATTAAAATATTTATACGTTGTGCATTATAAATCTCATGTGCTTCTAAAGTATTATTTTTTACCAATAAAGTGTTCAATTTGATTGCTGTGAGAGATCGCTAAAAGTTTGCAATATGATTAGAAAAACCTGATATCAACGTTTTTATTCGTAAATTTTGCGTATTATTCGGCTTGATGCTGAATTTTCAATTCTAAAATATTATTTTCCTTTAATTTAAGATTGGGTTTTTTTGGAATCTTTCTCGGGTTCATTTGGATTCATACTTCGGGTTTTGTAGATAATTTTATGTATTGGTGTTTATATATCTGCATGTGAACCTGCTTTTGTAAATAATCTAAAAATAAATGAATATGCAGAAACTGGGTTTCGTCAATATGTCCCAGTCTTTGAGTATAGTTCTTGTTTTCTCTTCAGAAATTTGACTGGTATATTTAGTTTTTCTTCTTCATGCTTGTTGGATTATTTTGTTAATCTTTGGAAAGCATGTTGATTTTAGTTAATTATTCATCTTTTGTGGATTGTTTAAGTTAATAAATTATTTTGTGATCTTGTGAAGTCATGGCTCTAGGCTGTATTGAGCAATAAATGATAGAACAAGCCATAATTCAAAATATGAATTGAAGAATTGGGCCTATACTTTCACACTTGAAGTAGAGTTAGTTCATTTACATAGCAGTGCATTCTTAAACAGCAGAATCAATATTATCAAGTTCATCTTCATTCCAATTTTCATCAAATATTTTGAGCAACTTGGTTTGTTCCATTCGGTGTTGCATGAATTAATTATATTGGGTCCCATCTAAGGCAGAATGTTCAGTAATGTTTGTTTCTTTTATAATCCCAGTGGTTTTTTTTTTTTTTTGGGAAGCAATCATGTAATTTTGCATTAGAATTAGTAAAATTGTAGGTTTTTATGGTTGCATCGGTCCATTGGCTTCCCTTTTTCTTTTGCTATTTCATTAGATAGTTATATGGTTTGTGGCCTACAGCTCTATTTCAAACTGCTCATTTTGCAATATTAACCCAACACGTCTATCTTGGCCTTTCTTGCAATTGAAAGTAAAAATATTTTGTCATCAAATTGCAATCTGCTCTTAGGTGATCTCCATATACAACTAATGGCACCAAATTCGAAGGCTGCAAAGGCATTCAAGACAATGGGCAGCATGGGTTATTCTGGGAAAGTTGTAAAACCAGTACTAAAAAATCTTCTAAAGTTATATGGCAATAACTGGGAGTTCATTGAAGATGAAAACTACAGAGTTCTTATTGATGCAATAATCGAAAGCGAGGACAACAAGGTGCATGCTTCTACTTCCGTGTATAGTACTGTTTTATCATCACCAGAATAGTCATCCACTTCCCATCACCGAGCCTTTGATATCCTTTAACGTTAATTGATTGTCTCTACCCTCTTGAAGTTGGGAATCCATAATCATGTTGTTTTGTGTTCTTGATTTTTCACAACAGTGGATAATCTGTTCAAACTTAATAGACAATCGTAATTGATTTCTATTAGCATGTTCCTTTATGTTAAACTCTAGGTGGCGAGAGTTACAAGGGAGCAACAGAATGCCTTGTCTGAGGGTAAACCTGATGAAAGTGAACCACCTTTGAAGAGATCCAAATCAAACTCCCAAACTGATCAACGTGCAACCTCATGTCACGGCTCAGCTCATAATGACATCGTAGCTATTGGGGATATGAGGAATAAGGTGGAAAATCAAGCTCATGGCAAGAAAAATATGGCTGAATCCTCTTCTAAACTTCTCCAACACGAGGATATGAAACCCAAGGTCGTACGTCCAAAGAATCATCAGGATAAAGGAAAGAACCACGGTTCTCCAATATCTCATATGGGACCAGAGCAAACAAAGGAAACTCACATGCTTTCTAATGATGAAAATGATGAATCTGTCTCATCTCTGATTTCCTCAAAGAAAAGAACAATAACATATGAAACAGGCGACCATTCAAATTCCTATCAAGATCCATACAATGCTGTGATTGAGAGTGTGCCATTTGACAGCCTGCCAAACTATATGGTTCCTTTTTCTGTAGTTCCTCCAGGTACTGCCTGTCTCTTTCTTGAAATTCTGGATTGCATCTACCATACAATTGTACTCACTAATGTAGATGATTTGATGATATCACTTCTGTAAATGAGATAACCTACCTCTGCTGTAATTTTGATAAACAGAGGAAGGCACCTGGATCTTGTATCAATAGTTTTGAAGTACATTGTCTGTCGTTATTAAAAATTTCATTTTATTAATTCCATTTTCTATTTCTGTTGATTGTTTGTTAGGTAGCTCTTTTCTACATTCTCTACATTATTTTTTATTTTCTGTTGAATGTAAATATTATATATTGCAAAATGATGTTCCTTTGGGATTGAAATCAATATGAGGATGATATAGTATTTATAGATTTTCTATTATTTTCCCCTAAATTTTGGAATTCGGATAGGTGGAGTCACATGTTTTGTTGAGTTGGGATAGTGTATATTCATCCTATTTCTTTTAGCAGTTCTTGGAGGATCATTTTGCAGACTCCTTATGTTGAACTAGTGTGCCACATTCGTGGTAGCTAATGAAGTTTTTAAATTATTTATAGATCCTCCTAGACTCCTATTGGAAGGTGGTTCATGTGGAAGTTTTCCTAATGCCAAAGAAAATTGCTCAACTTTTTCTGATTTGATAGATCTGGACGCAGAGGAAATATGTGAGTTTCTCTATCTGTGAGTACTCTATCTCCCTGAAACTGATTTATAAGCTGGTTCAACAATGCTATGTGTGGTTCTCATTGATAGGTCTAATCAATAACCTGCTAATTATTTAATAATTAATTATTATAGCAAGCTAATGTGTGTCTAGAAAAGAGCACGTCATTTTCATCTTAAATAATATGGAAGTATAGTGTGTGTTTAGTTGCTTGTTTCTAATGCTAAACACAATTCTCCCTTCTATAATGATGCAACGACTTTAATTTTATAATTTATATTCTCTATTCCTACTCCTTTTTTGAATATCGATGTTGCCATGTGTTAAGTGCTTATTTCTTTTTTCATTCCATTTTATTTGATCTGTTCAAGAACTCTAATTGATTATTTCAGCCTACATTTCATTATTGGCACAGCTGATTCCAAGGGAAAGAGTTCTGACTTGGAAGGACATCATTTTGAGTGCATGGACTCTGAAAAATTTAGATCAGAAGAAGAGGAAAATGGTGTACTAAATGCGTCAAAAATAGATATTGCAACTTCATCTCAGAGGGAGGTGAAAATTTCCCTGACATATAAATCTTCCTACCAATCACATTTTCAAGCTCCAAGTTTAGAATCAGTGTTGAAGCAAGTCGACGAAAAGTGTGTGAAGTCATACAAAATTACTCTACCTGGTTTCTCTATGCTGAAACTGATGAAAGATATGTGTGAATGCTTTTTGGCTGCATGTACCACCTCTAATGGTACTGAGCAGGGAATACCCAAAACTGTATCTAAGGACGGCAATCCACAAGCTATTTCTGTGGAGGGAGTTGATCACCAACTCACTTTCTGCATTAATTCAAATATTTTAAATGGACTTCTCAATTATCGGAATCGAACTCTTATTGAAGTCGCATCCCAAATTCCACAGGGCCTTGGTCCCATTCATATGGACTTACTACGCTGCCACATGAGAAATTTTAATGTTGATGGGTATAAGGATAAAAAGATTGACAGGAAGATTCTAGAACTTGATGGTTTAGCGTCTTCTTCAGCTGGCATGATTATTGTTCAAAAGCAACACTCTTCTAATTATGTTCAAGACATCACTAAAGGTCAAGAAGCTTACAGGATTCCTTTGATAAACGAAATAAATGAAGAGCCGCTACCTACTTTCTACTATATTCAGCATAATGTGGTTTATCAAAATGCATATGTGAAGTTTCTCCTTGCTCGAATGTCAGATGACAATTGCTGTTCAAATTGTTTTGGTAATTGTTTGTCTTCGGAAATACCTTGTGCTTGTGCTGGTGAAACCGGTGGCGAGTTTGCTTACATGCCAGGTGGTCTGGTTAAGGAAAGTTATCTTGAAAGTTGCATTTCAATGAATCACGATCTGCAACGCCACAATCTTTTTTATTGCAAGGATTGTCCACTCGAAAGGACCAAGGATAAAAGATTTTCGGGCAAATGTAAGGGTCATTTAGTAAGGAAATTTATAAAAGAGTGCTGGTATAAATGTGGTTGCAGCATGGCATGTGGAAATCGTGTTGTTCAACAAGGCATAACAGCAAGATTGCAGGTTACACTTTTTTCTATTTTCTATTTTTTTCTTTTTGTGCACGAAGTTTAAGTTTCGAAACTTAATTTTTACATCCTTTTTCAATTTGTTATTGTGGATTTCCCTGGTACTTCTTGGAAATTCCTATATTATAATTTTGTAATAGCTGTTAATCTTTCCATCTGTTTTAGGTATTTATGACACCCGGAGGAAAAGGTTGGGGTCTTCGAACCCTTGAAGACATGCCTAAAGGTGCCTTTATATGTGAATATGTCGGAGAAGTGGTGACCAACACAGAGTTATTTGAAAGAAACATGCGAAACACTGGTGAAAAGCACACATACCCAGTGCTTCTTGATGCAGACTGGAGTTCTGAAGGTGTCCTGAAGGATGAAGAGGCGCTTTGTCTGGATGCAACATCGTATGGAAATGTTGCAAGGTTTATCAACCACAGGTATCTTTAACGTGAGAAATAAATAATTACAAGTTCTTTACTGTCTCAAGAATTATATCCTTGTTCTTTGTGTGTTGGAAGTTCATTGCTCGATGAACTTATGGCCATGATTTTGGATTAATCTTAGAAGCTAGAAGCTACTCCCCATGAGTATACTTCTTTACATTCTTCTCCTCATTGTGTCTTGCTTTAGATGAGGTACAATAAAACTAAAACAAGAATGATATTCAACCAAGAAGATCCAATTTGACGTAAATTAGAAACCCATTTTTTCACTGTAGGGCTGTCCTTTGGAGGATTAAAACAAAGTTTTAAGGGGCGAATTTTAACCATGTCTATAATCTGTTACTTTTAAGTGTGTATCAGAGCTCTTGATCTCAATTGAAGAGTTCGAATTGGAATTTTAGATTTTCATGGAAGAATGCATGGAGAATTCTTTGATGGGAAAGCAAGCTTGGAGTTCCATATTGAATGGACACTAGAAGCTAAGATTGTGAACACAGTCTGCAGAGCAACTTACTGAACGACGAGGATTGAAGATTCTCACTGAGGAATCAATGGAAACAGGATTGAATATTAATTGCTCTCGTCTGATTATATGACAATATTGTATAAAAATGTTCATAGTTTGCATCAATGGGACCTCAGTCTTGAAGATTATACCCTTGAATTCTATAACTTACTGGTTCAAGTGGGACTCCACGAGAATAATGAGCAGCTCAGAGCTTGTTATTTGTAGGGTTTTTGGAAATATGTATGCGATAAGTTTAGTATTACTTGTTTTTTCAATATTGAATATTCATATTAACATGATTTTTCAAGTGAAGGAAAGGGTACGTCGATATGGGGCCATGCATCCTATAATAACCCATGTGATTACCTTTTCCGAATAGCAGAAATTCGACAGCTCAAATCAATCTGAAATGGACTAGGCATGCAACAGAGTTAGGACTTATAAGTACTACACCAAATTTGCTTAGGGCTAATGTAAGGGTCAACAAAATGTTTGTCAACCTCATTGGTAAAACGATAGAGGTCTATGTGGATAACATGCTAGTAAAGAGCTTAAAGGCAGATGACCATATGACACACCTGAATGAAACCTTTCAAATTCTAAGGAGGTACAAGATGAGGTTGAACCTACTAAAATGTGCGTTCGGTGCTGCCTCTGGCAAGTTCTTGGGATAGATAGTCAACCAAAGGGGAATAGAGGCAACTTAGGAGAAAATCCGAGCTTTGTTTGACATGAGGTCCCCCAAAAGCCAAAGAAGGTGTAAAGCCCAAGGTACTGCCCAAAACGTAAGTTTAGAAAATATTTACAACTTTACTTGGCTGTCTCTAGTGAGGCCATCAGTGCAATTCTTATCAGAGAAGAAGGTATTATCCAATTGCCAGTTTATTACATTAGCAAGGCATTTCTAGCACCTGAAACCAGCTAACCAAATATGGACAAGCTAGCCTTGGCACTGATCATAGCTTCCAAAAAGTTGAGGCCCTACTTCCAAGTCCACACTATTCATGTGCTCACTAGCTTTCCGCTTAGGCAAGTACTTTAGAAGCCTGATGCTTTAGGGAGGTTGTTGAACTCAGTGAGTTTGACGTCTTCAAGACGAGAGCTATCATCAAGGGCTAGGCTCTAGCGAACTTTGTGGCTGAATTAGCCAACGTTCCTGAAATGGAAGAAATAATGGAACCTATCAAGCCCCCACGTGGAACTTATTCGTAGATGGATCAACTGGTGAAGCGGGCTTTGGAGCTGGAGTGGTCCTAACAAGCCCAAGGGTCATAAATTTAATTGTGTAGTAAGGTTTGAGTTTAAGGCCACAAACAATGTGGCTGAGTGCGAGGCATTATTTGCAAGCCTCTGACTGGCCAAAGAAATGCAAGCAAGGAGGTTGCTCATCAATTGCAACTCCCAGCTGATTGTCAGCCAAGTTAATGGCAACTTCACAGCCAGGAGCAAGGGCATGGTTGCGTACCTTAAGTTGGTGATGGACCTACACCCATCCTTCGAAAATTTGAACTAGCTCAAATCCCACGCATTGAAAATGCCAACGTTGATGCCTGTCAAAGTTGGCCAATAGCAAAGATTCTGAGCTACTAATAATTTGTCCATAAAGCATCTCTCTGACCTTTCCATATTAGCGACAAAGGAAGTTATGTAGGTAAAATGGATCCCCACCTGAATGTAACCTATTGTAGACTATCTCAAGGACCAGGTCGGTCTTAATAACAAAGAAGAGGCTTACAAGTTTAGGAGGAGGTCAGCCAATTTTATATTCTTGGATGACGTGCTTTATATAAGAGAGGTTTCTCTTCCTCCTTCCTTCGATGTATTAGGGGAAAAGAAGTTGCATACATTCTTTGTGAGGTTCATGAGGGGGTTTGCGACAATGATTTGAGGGACTTGCATTGGCACGAAAAGGGCTGAGGTAGGGGTATTATTGGCCCACCTTGAAAAAGGATGCTATTTAGTTTGTTCGAAAATGACTTCTCCCCTATTCAAAGACAACTTTCGCAAGAACTGACTGTGGTATCCAAACCCTGATCATCTGCAAAGTGGGGCATGGACGTCATAGGCACCTTACCTGGGGGCAGGGGTAGTGCAAGTTTTGTTATCATGCCTATCGATTACTTCACCAAATGGGTTGAAGCCGAACTTCTGGCCAAAATCACTGAAACAAACACTTCCAAGATCTTATAGAAGAACATTATATGCTGATTTGAAATTTCCTATTCAATCGTCTCAAATAATGGTAGATAATTTGATAACAAAAAGGTTAGGGACCTATCCGAGGAGTTGGGAATCAAGAAGCAATTCTCTACACCGCATCATCCCTAAACTAATGGGCAAGTCAAGGTTGTGAACAAAACTATCAAGTATACTTTGAAACAAAAGCTCAATGCTTCTAAAGGGACATGTGTTGAAGAGCTGCCACAAATGTTATAGGTAATTCGAACTACAAATAGGACCTCAATTGGAGAAACCCCTTTCTCGACGGCCTACGGTGCCGAAGCGATGAGCTTTAGATTACCTTCTTTACGTCGATTGCAATTCAGTGAGATATCAAACGATAAGCTAAGAAAATGTGAACTCGATTTTCTGGATGAAAGAAGAGACGACTCCCAAATTGAGAATGGGAACATATCAAATGAAGATGACCCTTTATTATAATGCAAAAGTCAAGAAGAGATTGTTCCGAATAAATGACCTAGTTCTTCAAAGGGTGTTCCTATCTTCCAAAGAATCAGGAGTAGGCACAATGGGTTCGAATTAGGAAAGTCCATATAGCATCAAAGAGGAGCTTTGACGTGACACTTATTGGATAGAAGACATAGATGGAAAGGTACAACCTCGTCCATGAAATATTGAGCGTCTAAGAATATATTATCAATAAATGTACTTAGTAGTTGGAAGGTTTTACCTTGCCCTATGTAAAAATTATCAAATAAGTAAATAAGATTACGTCTTGTTGACGAGATCGGAAACAAAAAGCTATTTTAGGGAAGCATGGGTGCCTTGAAGAAAAGGTTCGGATCCCAAAATGGACCAGCTCATTTGTTCTCCAAGGGGTAAATCACATATCTCCCTTTGATGAAGCTGAATGTCAAGGAAAAAACCCGGATATGGTTCAATCATCCACCATGTATGGGCACCTTGAAGAAGAGGATCGGATCCCAAAATGGACCACTTTATTTGTTATCCGAGACGACATCACATGCCTCCCTTTGAAGAAGTTGAACGTCAAAGGAGAAACCTCATACATAATTGAATCATCCACCATGTAAGGAAGCGTGGGGGCTTTGGAGAAGAGGACCAAATTCCAAAATGGACCACTCCATTTGTTCTCCGAGGCGTACATCACATGCCTCTGACGAAATTGAACGTCAAGAGAGAAGCTCGTACATGGTTGAACCATCCACTATATAGGGAAGCATATGCGCTTCATAGAAGAGGACTAGATCCCAAAGTAGATCACCTCATTTGTTCTCAGAGGCGTACATCACATGCCTTCTTTTGACGAAGTTGAATGTAAATGGAGAAGCCCGTACATAGTTAAACCATCCACTATGTAGGGAAGCGTGGACGCCTTGAAGAATAGGATCGGATCCCAAAATGGACCTCCACCTTTGTTTTCCAAGGCGTACACTATATGCCTCCCTTTGACGAAGTTGAATGTCAAGGGAAAAGCCCGTATATGGTTGAAGCATTCACCATGTAAGAAAGTGTGGGCACTTCAGAGGAGAGGATTGGATTCCAAAATGGACCACCTCATTTGTTTTTTGAGGTGTACATTTTATACCTCCCTTTGACGAATAGACCATCCACCGTGTATGGAAGTGTGTGCACCTCAGAGAAGAGGACTGAATCCCTACATGCATCGTTATTACATGCCTTATTTTGACGAATTTGAATGTGAAGGGAGAAGTCCTATTGTCATGAAGCATTTTAAGTGAAGATAAACGTTATTAAGTAGGTGTGAAATGCCATCGAAAAGGTATCAAGTCCTATGAGTTTCAAGGATTAGTCAAGTTTTCAAGATTGATTAAGGTCAGAATGTTTTAAATGCTGCAATTAATTGCGAAATGAATAAGATGACGGGATTAGTAAGGTCATGTGCTTTAATTAGGGTACAACAATGTATAATTGAAGATATTGAAATAGAAAAGTAGACATCAAAATACTAAAAACATTCATTCTAGTAAATAATGGAATATTTCCAAAGGGGGGCCGTGGCTACATAACAAAAGAAAATTGAAAATCAGAAATCTACACTAGGTAAGAGGCGGTTGAGGTTCTACCTCAGTAGTAGCGCTTCAGCAGTTGATGTTTCTTGACCTGTAGTTTCCTCCTCAAGAGCTTCCTCTTGCTCTACTTCTTCATTGGCCTCGATTGTATCCTCAGCTAGGGTTTGAGACACCTCATCCAAAAACTCCACCTTAAGTTCAACAGTGTTGAGTTCTAGATAAAGGTCCTCCACCCTTTCCACTACCTCAGCTTAGATAAACCTCCTCCAATAGAGACTAAAGCATTGACCCTCCTCTATAAGATGGAAGTTGGAAATGTAGTTCTTCACCGTCTCCTCACCCGCCAATTGAGTGAGGCCTAAGCTCTATCAGCCTCTTGCACGTAATGCTATATTTGGCTCTCATAAAATTGATTGGAACGCTTAATCCAACGAGTTCTAGATTGGCCTTCTCCGAGGCTTCTCCCATAAGCTTTTGATGATTATTTGGGGTTTTCACCTTTATTAAAGATGCAACCTCGCATTGGGACTTGTGAACTTTCCTTTTTAGAGCTTCAATTTCTTTGCTACACCCTCAACTCGCTGGGCCCGTATCACCTTAGCTTTGGCCTTTATTTTCTTCATTTCCTCTTGAACAGAGGCTAGCTTGTCAATTGAGGCTTTATTGCGTATTTGAATGTTAGCTAACACCTCCTGACACTCAAGGGTGACCCCAAAAACCTTAGCACTTTAGCTAACTAGTGTCAACGTAAGGTCCATTGCATCACAGGTGTACACGTAGGATTGCCACCTCTCAGTCCAAAATTTGTAAAAGTTCGCGATGTAATTATATACAAAGGACAACCACTAGATCAAAATCCATTCCATCCGAAGATCTGAGGCGTTGAATTCAAATGGTTTTGTTTGTTGATTGATACATGTTTTTCATGCCTATGCCTTAGCGCATAGACCTTAGAACATTGCAGCGTGACCATCATTGCGCATTTAATGTAACGGCCCTACGTGTATTGGAAGTCGCAATGCTTCAATTGTCATTTCTTGGTAATATGCAAGAATATCAAATAAGTGGCACCACTATTGAGGTTAATATCCTCCAAATATAGGAACCTTGGCAGTTCATCATCATCTTGCCTCGGCTCAAAATAAATTTCGACTATCTTCAACATAAAGGAGCATCGGCAGTTTAGCATCATCTTGACTTGGCTCAAAATAAATTTCTAATACCTTCAAAATAAAAGGAGCCTGACAGTTCAACATTATCCTGCACCGGCTCAAAATAAATTTCAACTACCTTCAGCATAAAGGAGCCTCAACAGTTTAGCATCATCCTACCTCGGCTAAAAATAAATTTTATCTACCTTCAACATTAAGTAGCCTCGGCAGTTCAGCATCATCTTACCCCGACTCAAACAAATCTTAGGTATTTTCGTTGTACAAAGAAATATGGCTAACTTTGAACTCTAATCATGATATGAATATTCATACTTGGACTTGGGGGACTATTATTATTTGTCAAAAAAAAAAATGATGATGAGGATATAGAACCAACCGAACGAAAAAGAGAGAAACTATTGTCCACTTATTACTAAAGTCCACGCATTAAATGAATAACTATACATGCACTTGAGGGACTATTGTTACGCCTCATCACATGTGGTTCTACATGGCAAGCCCATCGAGGCCCATTGGTTGATTATTGAACTAGCTGACCCACTCAAATCGAAAAACCACATCCACTGAAGCAGCCTTATGTCAAAGACGAAGCCTCGAAGCTAAGTGCATTTGTCTGCCGAAGTAACGAAGCCCAACATAACTATACATGAGGATTCTAAATTTATGTCTAAAATTCTTTTGGAATGATTGATGGGACATTTGTAATGTGTAAAATGTCAAGCTTGTGAATTTAGGCAATAGGGCGGCTGTTCTTTGTAAGAGTATTAAATTAAATGCGCTACGGGCTACGAATTTCAAATTGATGCCTAGGATTGTATGCTTCGGTCAAGGAAATGAGGCCACATTCATCCAATGGAAATCATTTCATTTGTAGCACTATAAATAGCCCCTCCATGTATCATTTGAAGGCTAATACAAATCAATACAATTAAAGCTACTATTTGTCTTCTCTTTTGCAGATTATAATTTCTTTTTTTTTTTTTTTTCAGTTAAGATTATTTAGCTTTAATGAAATTATTGACAATTGGTTATTATCACACAATCAATCTCAAAATATATTGCAAGAGCCCTGATACATTTGTCTCGTGTTATAAAGCATCTCTCGCGTCCAAACCTGGAGTATTATTGACTAACATTCTGTCCATACATGTCGGAATTTTCTTACGAGTACACAAGTAGGTCCAATAATTGTTGTCCACGTCACTCTAACAGAAAATGAGGTCAACAGATTCGATGTATCATGAATAAAAAGAATAAGTTAAATATTTGACTGCAGTATTCCCGAAATCAATTTATGAGTTTGACTATTTCAGCTCTGTAATCTGCTTTTCTGTTTATCACTGTTGTCTAACCTTCCTAGCCATATCAGGAGGCAATATTGCTTATTTTGTTGTGTTTTCAGGAAAATATCCATGTGTATTTTCTCATAATAAATTTTTTATAGGACTTTGTTATTTTATCACTTTAGGTGTTCCGATGCTAACTTGATTGAGATCCCAGTGGAAGTGGAGACTCCGGATCACCACTATTACCATGTATGGAGAATCCCAATCATATATGTATTTTCAATTTCCTGATTTCATTGTGTAAATATCTAAATATTTGCATTGAGGTTATTATATTCATTCCACGCAGCTTGCCTTTTTCACTACAAGAAAGGTTAATGCTTTGGAAGAGTTAACTTGGGTAAGCTGATTCCCTTTTTCTGATTATTTTGATTCTAAAGGCAGCAACATCATAATCGAGTAGGGAACGTTACAAATATATTTAGAACTGCAGATACATGGTTCTCAGTTGAAATGAGGACAGTTTCTTGGTCTAGCGGTGGTAAACATTTTATTAAATGTATTGCAGGACTATGGAATTGACTTTGATGATCATAGACATCCTGTGAAAGCTTTTAAGTGTCACTGTGGGAGCGAATTCTGTCGAGACCGGAAATCCATGAAGAGTGAGTTTACTTTATTTTTAGCCTTGTTATGCATTAGGAATAGTAGTTTTATGTGATCCCTTTCCATGTGATAAAGTAATGTTCCATAATTAATCAGTCAGTCATCTAGTCTGCTTAATTTTGGCATATGTTGCTTGGGCACGGTTATGGGTGTTGGACATGGGTACAGATCAAGTAAATTGCCATTCAATCCAAAGGACGTTCGGATAATATGTTTATGCATATTCTGACATGGCTCTTGATCATAAATTTCTGCCATTTACTTATGCAGAAACTTTACTTCTTACACTTAATATAGGACTATTTTATATGTTAAATTAGTTCCCATATGGCTTGGAAGACTATTGTGTAACATTAAAGAGGAACCAAAGAATGCATGGTAAACAGAAAACTCTCTGCTGAGACCATTTCATTCAAAATGTTCAAGTAGACAGTTCAAACCCATCCTGCAGAGATTTAGGAGCATGTGTGATAAGTTGTAAATGCTAATTAGTTGTGGAACTGTATAGAGATTATGACGGCATAGAAAATGCAATGACGCTAATCGAAAAATTACTATAGAGAAAATTATCGAAAAAATTTGGGACCCCAAAAAATTGAGCGGCTCAGCAACTGTGCTTGTATTAGTATAGCATAAAAAAAATCATATGCCCAACTGTGACTTGCTCTAATAGGAGAACATGTACACTATCTTATAGATGAATAAGATAAACTACGAAAAAATAGCAACAAAGCACCTAATGCCTATTGAGCAGAAACTTACTAGAACTTACCTTCTGAAGATGACAATGACTCAACAAAGGCAACTTCATTCGTCTTATCTAGTTTTGCTTTTACCAGTGTTGACTAGTGCATAAGTTCATCTTTCCCACTTTAAAGTGGATCTGCTTGCAATTTGTACCTAAGTTTTCTTAAATTTCTGGTCAAGTTTTATTTTCCTTTCCCTATTTCTTTTGCCCCAGGAAGAAAACTTCGTTCGTGAATCTTTGAGGACCAAGCAATCTTGAACGTTTCGGCTAATAATGTAGAAGGCTTGTGAAAAGTTCCTTATCATTTATTCTACTGAAGCAATCTTGGTACTGAACGTTTGATGTGGTCATTTTATGCTTGTGGTCATTTTATGCTTGAAGAAAAAATATTATTTTGTGAAATTGGGGTAAGAAACTACAGGTAAATTACTATTGAATTCAATCGAGTAGAAGTCCTAGGGATTGAGTACTCCTTTAGGACTTGCTTGGGAGTAGGGTTGGGCAAAAATCAATCCAAATCGGTCAAACGGACCAATTCAACCCAAACGAAGTTGAATTGGTTTGTGTTCGAGTTTTGGAAAATAAAATTGGGAAAAATATGCAACTATGGTACATTAAGAATATAAGTTCACATTTACCAAACTTATGAAAAAGTTACACAAATCAGATATTAAATCATTATAAATATAATTTTATTATATATTTTACAACTTAAATACGGATGTATCATCGTCCCAAAATATAGACCCTATTTGTTTGCCATTTGTTTCTGTATTTTAGAAGAAATTGGAATGTTAATGGGTCACACCAAGCCCTTTTTTTTTGACTGGCCTCTCACATTGTGTAACAATTTCAAGCTTCCAACGATCAAAAAAGGCATTATTATGTGCTAAAAATGGGAAACAAACAGGAGTATAGACTTATTTTTTTATTTTTATTTTTTATAACAAATTCTCACCTCACATATATCTTTAACCTCACATGTATTTCTACCTCTCACTTTCTCTTACTAAACACGATTCCTCGCTTTCATTACAAAATTTCCAACAATTTATCATGCAAATTGACCATAAATCACTTCATCAAAAGCACATTTCTATTTATTAAGTCACAATGCCATCGTTGATTTTTGAGATATATTTGTTTGGAGTTGTCGAAATATCTTGACTGAACAATTTGTCGAATCTGAATCTCTATATTTCGAAATCAAGTGAATCTCCTTTCATTCCACATAATATGGGGTCATACATGTCTCAAGAATTTGTGTGGATCATACATTGTGAATTCATCTTTTGACATAAAAAAGTCATTAAGTTTTTAATAGGAGTGTGTATTTTATAAAATGTCTGTATGAATGTATGACTTACTGGATGTGTTTTCTTTGTTGTTAATGACCAGGTTTGTATTAAAAGATTAGGCCTATGCCAACTTTTACTGTTTGTGACCAAGTGTATGTTAAATATATGTGGCCATATCTGGGTTAACTATAATTGTTAAGACCATGCATGTGTTAACATGAGTGTGTTAACCAAAGTCTATTTTCAATAAGTTTTTAACATGAGTCAGTTTGTGACCAGGCCATAAATGTTTAGTTGGAGTATGTATTTCATAAAATGTTTGCATGAAAATGACCTATTAGATGTGTTTTATGTGCTGTTTGTAACCAGTGCCGATCCTGTGAATTTGAAGGCCCAAGACGAACTTCATAAATTAGGCCCTCAAAATTGTAGTATGCATTTAAAATATATAACTATATTATGGAATGCATTGTTAACTTATTAGCTCAAGACTTAATATAGTAAAACAACAAACAACAGAATCAACAATTTTCCAAATCATTGGATAAATACTATTCATTTTGCGATTTTAGAGGTAAAAATATTAATAGAATTGAATAATATAGTTGTTTAATTTCTTTTTCAATTGATAACATAACCAATCCATTCAATCATTTTTGTGACATAGTTGATCAAATGATCAACTTTATTTTGGAGAAACTTATTTTTACAAATGCAACTGTAATTGGTATGATTAACAAAATTTTGTAAGCAATATAAATATTTGGAAAATAATCATTCACTGTTTTCAATCATTGCTTTATTTGGTATATAACACCTCAATATTACACGTAAATCAAACAATTTTCCTTATTTTTCAACCACACATTTCCCATCAATTTATTATTCTAAAATACATTTTTACATAAAAATGGCTCTCAAACACCCTCTAAGTATTAAAATAAATACTTTAACTAAAAATTTATAAACTACCTAAAACACCCTCATTGAACATCAAAGACAATTTGCCCTTTCCAGTTTGACAAAATCATTTTTTCTTCTTTTCTTCTTCGCCATAAGGTTAAAGAACTACCCAAATTCCAACATTCAAAATTGATTCACTTTCGTCTTCTCTTCTTCTTCCACTATAGGATTTGCTGTCACTATTATCCCATATTTGTTACCATCACCACGCGTTTCGACACCGTCGCAAATAGCCATTTCATAAGAGTCATTCACCCATTCCAGTTTCACGAACCAATAACGTAGTGGGCTATCCTCAGGTCTGAGAACTTCATCTATTCTCATTAATACTACGACTTTGTGCGTTATAGAGAAATTTATGTAATTTTAATTTTGGAGTCCCTTTTAGTCGTTTTTTTTCTTTGGGTAACAATGAAGACATGTTTCAACATAATTATTATTGAGGGATTTGATTAATTTCTTTTTACTAGAGTTTATTATGTTTACTTTTAAGTATGAAGCCTTTCGCTCATACTTGAATCGATTTTTTCCCGTCATTACCCAGTTGAAAATTAATGAACAAACATGAAAATTTCACTGAAGGTTGCTTCCTCATAGATGTGTTCATCAATAATTAAAAATTAATGATCAATTCGTACATCTTATTATACTTTTTGATTCTTAGCTCCATGGTAAAGTGTGTCAAAATTTGAGGAATTCATGAATAACCCAATAATTTTGATTATTAAGTGTTTCATGTAGATTTACTTATTTTGTTCGTGATTAGAGGATAGGGAGAACAAGAAAATATATAAAACTATTTTAATTTGTACAGTAGCAAATAGGTTTATGTGAATAGATTACGAGAAAAGTTAGGGAAGAAATCAAATATAGTTCTTTTTTATGCTTCTTGATGTTATTTGGGCGTTTTGGTTATTTATTTATTTATTTTTTTGTTAAAAATTTTGAATTTAAATTTTGTAGGAAGATATAAATTTTGTATTTCATTTCACATTTTTATTCCTTGTATATTGACTGATAGATTTAGGTAAATGAACACAAGATCTAATGGAAAGAAACATGCTACCTATACTTTTACTGGAGAAAGTCATCTCGGACTCATTCTAGTTTTGTTTTGATGCAGCACACTCATTCTTCATTACATGAACTTTTTTATCACTAGTGGACTATTTATCTGGGGTGTTTAGTTGGCGAATGCATACTTTGGAGATTTATTTTTTTCTAATGACTAGCGTCTTAGTGCTATTGAACATCAATTAGTTATAGGTTTTCAAGAGAAATATGGAATAATAACAACAAAATTACTTTGTTTGGAATCAAATGATCTGACACCCTTTCTAACATGTTGAGAACTAATATCTTGTTTCTTATAATAGACATTTTCTTACAACGGTACTCTTAAAATATGAGATATTATTGACCAATATAGTTGGCCACTAATTTTGGGATGAAAAATCGAACTTCCACTGAATACTCACCTTTCAAGATAATACTAAAACTGTATATGAGTTTAACCTATGACATTCAATCCAAGATTGAGGGAGTATTAACTAGAAAGTTGTGCACGATTATATTTATGTTAGTTGGTCACATTTTTGTGCAAAGTAACCTAACTAATTTATTGTTGGTTTGTCTCTCTGATATTCAAGGATCTGATAAGGCCTAGGTAAGGTTTTCTCAACGTATGCATGAAATGACTTGCTTTCTACATTATTTAATTATTATATGTTGTCAAAGGTGATATTTGGAGTGTTGTTTTTATTTATATTCACTACTTTTGTAACTACACTATGTAGCATGAGAATTGAGTCCAATAGTCTTGAAGAGTTTGATCAAATTTCATCGTGCCATGTATCTAGTTCTGAAAAAAGGTGTCTTTCTGTTTTAACACAAGTATCAAAAATACATTGCACAAGTATCACTTGACATTAGTATAGATTCTTCATTGATAATTGATTATTTATTTAACACGGTTGTTTTTATATTTTTATTGCAGAAATGAAACACTTATTTGAGTATGTGATTCCAGTTGAAGATAGAATTATAAGCAAATCTTCGAAGAAGTGTTCCCTTTTGAAGTTTGATTATATTGGAAAGAAGTTAGGTGATGTTCATCGAGAAATGTTAATGCAAACTTGTTTCGCACAATTCTATAGAATGTACAGTATACCATTTTTAGTTCAGCTAGTCTATCAACTTGCGATGAGGATAATTGTGATCAGAACAGAAAGTGAGATATGGTGATGATGCTTTTGTCTAGTGTCACGCGTTTTTTATGCAGTAATTTATAAAGCAAATGTACGGCCCCAAGTTTTGTAATATAGCAATGGAGTTAAGAATGTCGAATCCACGTGGATTGTAATTTAATTTTTATTAAATACTATAATTATTTATCCTTTATTTTATCTAGACGAATGAATGGTTGTGGTCAATAATATTATTTAATTTAAAGGTGAATATGGTGATGAATTCAATGAGTACAACTTATACAAAAAATCAATACAAAAAAGGCTCAAGGAATGATTTCACATAACTATCAATTATGCTTCAATTATGTCTAGCTAGTCTAGTTAACTTTATCTATGTTTAAAAGCAAGAATCCTAATATATTTCTCTCCCTTCTCTCGAGTGCTGGATAGAAATGAATCTTGATTTCAATCACAATATCTCTATTCCGAATTAAAATCAAAGATTTATCAAATTAATGATTCTCTTATGGAATAGACTTCATAGATCCTATACTTCTCTTGAAGCCCACAACATCTACGTTGTGTCAATCATATGATCGTACCTAAATTTTCCTCTCTTATTTATTCAATTAGTGGCCAATTAATTGAAAGTATTAATATCATGACACAATTAAACATATGTGGGAAATCAAATAGAAATAACTATAACATAATCAAACCATAATCTCAAGTTTTGGCTACAATCAAACCCTAGAATAAGAATTTAGTTCATGATATACTCCAGGAATATACTAAAATTCATATAAGAAAACATAGGGAAGAGAATAGAAAAAATCGGTTGTAAATCTTCAATATCTTCTCTTGTTCTTCTTTGCCTTGTTC